GCAATGGTCCCCCCCATGGTCCCCTCCCCACTCCTGCAGTCCCCCCTCCCCCGCCCCATACTTACCAGCTCCGAGTCTGGCTCCAGCTCCCTGCTGCAGCCACTGGGGACTGCCAGAATCATTGAAGCTCCCTGAATCTTTTCTGCAGATTTGCAGAACTTCAAATCGATTTGGAACTTTTTATTGGTTCCCTAATTCGATTCAGATTGGGCCACTGAATCGAGCCAAATCTCCTCCAAATTGAATCACCACTCAAAGCTTCACACAGCCCTACCTTCTACGGTAGGAGACATATATATTCCCTTCCAGTTTTCAGGGACTGAGCACACTGCATCCAGCATTGTCTTTATCTCCCTTTTAGTTCAAACAGAGAGAGGTGGAGGCAGGGATTTTAAGCCTTGTCTAAACCGAGGCTTTGGACACTTTACACTGCCATACTTAACTGGCGACATCAAACGAGTTGTATTCTGTTATCTTGGTAAACATGGGCTTATACACTGGTATAGCTATACAGAAAAAAGAATAAGCTTGGTAGGTATTTATACAGGCATCTTTGTAATGGCATAACTGCATCCAGCCCAGTGGTTGCTTATACCAAAACAACTAATTTGGTAAGGAAAAATTGCACTCCTTTTCAAAATAATTTTTCTAATATAAGACTCCTATGTAAAGATGAGACTTAAATCTCTCTCTCCCATCTAGCAGTATGGCATGTTGTTACAGGGCTAGCTAATTCACTTACATTTTGTGCTTCTAAATATTTGTGATTTTCCAATTTATTTAATGGCCAAAATAAATGCAACTTAAAAATATTTAATCCAATTATTGTTTGAAACATCGAGAATGCTGAGCCCAATTTTAGGTAGAAGTCAAAGCAAGAATAAGGGATAGAGATGGAAAACATTGAGAAGAGGCAAAGCTTTCATAAAATGTCCTAGGATGGCTTGGAGAAGTTTGGTGTGTGGGAATTTTAATGTAATTGTGAGTCATCAAAATGTAATTGCGAGTCTTCTAAGTTTCTGGGTCACAAAATTACAGAATGTTCTTGGTCTACAGACCATAATGTTCAAAAAAGGTTTTGAATTATTGTTTCACATTTGCCATACTTGATGCTGCATTGTTCAGCACTTTTTATGTAGTCAATTGCACCAAAATGAAACAAGTTTAAAATGCCACTGGATTAATATCAGACCCTCCTGTCTTATCTGTAGCTACTTGTTCATCTCTTTCTTTCTGGGCTGACTGCTTTCAAAGATCTTTGCCTGCAAGGTAAACTCAGGCTGGTAATGATCTCAGACTTGAGATTCTAGCCAAGGAAGTCATCAGGCCTACAAAAACCCACAGAGCTAAAAATATATGGAGCGATGGAAAACAGGAAATAATTCCTGCTGACTACAGGACTCAGGTTTTTGAAACATTAGCCAGCAGTGGCTTTTCCAATAGGACGAAGAAGATAAGTGAAAGAGGCAGAAACTCTTAATTTAGTAGATTAAGGCATACAACTAATGCCATGGGAAAGCAAGCATATTCCATTAGGTGTATTTGTGTACTTGAATGTTTTGGTGACAAGCATCTGGTAAATACTTTGTAAAGAAGTTTACACTGTGGTCAGTTTTGATGACATCACACAACCCAATTACATAGTTTTTACTGTGTAGAACAATGGGCATTAACTGTTGGGGACTTGAGACACCCTTCACTGGACTTGAGGCACCACTCCATAACTATGTGAATTGGGTGGCTCCCAATTTCAAAAACTAATTTATATATTATACTGCCTACCTCCTTGTAGAGGGGCTGGACAGTGCGGGCAGGGGAAAGTTTGAGCCTCTCTTTATTTTGCATGCTTATCTCCCCACACCTTCTGTCACCCTTCAAAGGATCTAGCAGCACCCTGGGATGCCCAAGAACGCTGGTTGGAAATCATTGGTTTTGAAGAGTCAGTGAAGAACAATAACCATTCTGCCTGAGTAAAGACCATATAACTAGATAAGATCCAATGTGACATATAACTTGCAACTAAATTCAGTTTGTGAATAATCTGTGCTTGCTTGTTTGCTTTCTATAGACCTTGCCCTCATGGGTAGGGACCTACTCAAATTGTGATTTCATGGAAATCATGAAATTGGGTGATCTCCATGAAATCCATGGGGGGGGGTGGAAAAACTTACTAAAAATAAAATGCTGGCTCTCTAGTGGGAGCCAGCTGTACTCCCTGCCATGCAGTCCTGCACAGAGAGGGCTGCCAACACACAGGCAAGCAGTCAAGGTGGCTGCTGCCCCAACCCCTCATTGCTGATTGGCTGAGAAGGCTGCCTGTTATGCAGCCTTTCTCCCCTCCACCAATCAGCAGTGAGGAGTGGGGCACATGACAAACAGCCTTCTCCACCAATCAGTGGCAGGGGACAGGGCAGCCAGTCAGAGGCTGGGGAAAGGGGGCAGCGATAAACCTGTGTAAATGGTGGCTGGCCCTGTGATCTGCCCACAAAATTGGCCAGCCATGGCCTGAAATGAGATTCCTATTCCTTGGTGCAAAGTTAAACTTTCCTGTATGAAGTTGACATAACTGATGAAGTGATGTTTACCTGAGCCTACAGCCTTGGGAAATATGGTGTCTCCTGCCTTTATCATTTTGCTGGATCAAAACTAAAGCTATGGACAGAATATCACTTGAAACAGTTCAAATGGCTTTCAAACACATGCAGAATAAACTGCTCCTCAGTGTGGAGGCAACAGGTACTACTTTGTGCTTTTTCATTTTGGAGCACTTGTATATGGGAGATCATTTCTCTGGTTATCCTACAAAGTAGTGCTCTTCCCTTCCTCCTCAATCCCCCCAGCCATGGTCTCCCTGTACTCTAGCCATTGTGGTTGCAGCATGGGCTGTTGGTCCCATTTCTCCTGACTACCAGGACTGAGAGTGCAAAGAGACACACTCCTTCCCCCACCAGGACTGAGACCCATAACCAGGAGACTAATCTTCCAACCCTAGCAGGTGAATGTGGGGTCTCCAGAGATGCTGTTTCCCTTTCCCAGAGCCAGGATTCCTGCTCTCCAGCCTCCAATCAACCAGCTTCCAGTAGAGGGACACAGGATCTCCTAGTTTCAGTGTGGGGTTGCTTTGGGAGAGCAGACAGGAGGGCACACAGTAATATCAGCTCCAATGATGTAAACATCTGTGGGATTTCCTTTTAGAGAGTATGGGATGCTATGAGTGTTAAATGTAGCTATCCCCTTCCTTCCTGAATATCGCCAATCCCCGGTCATGGGGTAAAAATCATAAAGTATTTAAAAATAACAAATGATATGATATTTTTATTTGCATTTTGGTTTCTGAGTCATGAGGTTGCACTAGCTTTGTGTTCTCAACCCTCTCTATGATTGTGAGGACTAGAAAAATGTATCTTTAAAAAAATGAAAGTAAATTCTCAAGATACTTCTTGGTTCCAGCTGGTTGAACTTCAAGAACATTACTGGACAGTGCAAGAATCCAGCTGGAACTCAGCTAATTAGAGGACAATATTGCCCAATAGTTCTTTCAACCTCCATCAAAGCTACCTTTGAATTTTAGAACAGGCTTTTTTTCCTGCCACTAAGTTCCAAGTTAATTTTTCTTCACCCAAATTTCTGGCTTATTGAATGTAAACAAAGTATTTCTTGCAGAAGAAAACCTTTTGCCCTGGGATCTTACACATGTACAAGTTTATTATCCTGCTTTAAATACTTGAGAAATACGCAAGATTAAATGTGCCAACACTTTTTCTTGGGACATCGCTACATGTGTCAGTGAGTTAATTGAAGGTCATTCTTGAGACAAGCTGACCAAGCTGTGTGGTCTTGCTGGCCATCTACTGGCAGGAAAGCATCAATGCAGCTTGTGTGTAAGTGGCTGTGCCACTCCTGTTTTGATCCTGGTCAAAACATGAGATAATAACATGACTGCCTCAAATGAAACATCTGTTTACACTCACTCTTGCAATGAGATGCATTCAAGTGGGCCGTTAACTTAACACAGAAGCCAATTATAGATTTTTGCATGGTTATATAGGTACACCTACTTTATCCATCTTAAAGAATCATGCCTACAGCAATAGACATGCTAGATAGGCATGCTATGCCTCTACAGTTTGTTCATTACATTGTGATTAGGGAATACTTTTAGAACTCTGGATATGACTGAGCTATTCCATCTGGTTATTAGCATTTACTTCTGTCTAATGTCCTATACATTTTCTGCATCTGATTTGTGTCCCTTCCCTCATTATATGTCACATTGGCAATATGACCTTTGGTTCATTTTTAAAGGATTATCACATACGTGGTATGTTTAGTCATTAGGGTAAGAGGCTTAAACCATAACCTGCAACATGCTGCAGACATAATTGCCCTGAAGTACACTGCCTTTTATTTCTTATTGCTTAATTATTCTCTGCTAACCTTTTTGTGAATGTGAGTCATACTTTTAAAAGAGAAATTAAATGTTTTAATAATTAAACAGTAATATTAATAACCTGCTCAGCTCCACTAACCTTTTATTAGATAAACCTTTAATAGCTAAACCTGTAAAGTAGGCTCCACTGTTTAGCACCTTTCTAAACCATGAGGGGATTTTTTTGTTTATTGTGGGAGGCATAAATCTTTAGTGTTTATAGCTGACCAGTGGCATGAAAATGGATTCAGACATAATACTAAATGTATACTTCCAAGTGGCTACTTGAATCAAGACTTGCCTTCTTTTTTTATTTTTCTGGCCTTCTCATTCTTAATTCCTTTCTTATTTCTTTAGTAGTTATTATTTCAGTAAATCCAATCCTGAGTATTCATGCAGCATTAGTGCTGGAGCCATAAACACTTCAGTACTAATTGGATCTACTACTGCCACATGGAAAACTTTTGAAAGAAACATTTCATTTCAAGACAATTCTGCTGCTAGGTCAATATATTTTTGTCTTTTCTGTTGTCAAGTAACCTTCTATTCTTTTACTTCACTTCAGGCTGAGTTCTCGGAGCTGAATCTTGCTGCTTACGTTACTGGTGGCTGCATGGTGGACATGCAAGTGATGAGGAATGGCACCAAGGTAGTGAGGTGAGGAGCATTAGCTTTCATTGCAAATCTTTTTTTCTTTGGAAAGATATGCAAGTAAGGACAATGACCCAAGAGACCTAATCTGTACCCTGGTAGGGGCAATGGACAGATTGTCAGTGATTTCCATAAGCTTTCAAGTCAAGTCTTTGGCAAGACTCCAGTTAACTTCACAGGGCTTTAGATCACATTTCATGTGTGTATGATTTCCTTATTGTTTTCCATCCACACCCTTCCCCACCTGTCAATACAGGTATACCATTTTCAGAATTATTCGAACCTCAGGCCTGCTGGTCCTGTGTACAGAGAACGGTTTTTCTTTCATTTTACTTTCTCTTCCTTACTGTCTTATGCAATCACTTTATTAACTGTAAATCATATCTTGAAAGCAGAGGCACCAAATATGTGGGAGCCCAGAGAAGAGGTCTGTCACCTGAAATACATAAAACTTTCCACATGTTCAACATCTTAATCCCCTCCCTCCCTCCCCCAGCAAAAATAAGTCAGTGCCTATGCTTGAAAACACCCACCCCATGCGCTATTGTTTGATGACATCAGACTAATAACATATCTGTAGGCTGTAAATGTGTTCCACGGGCTTTATCTACCAACATGACTTGCTCCAAAATGCTATCCTTCCATAAGAAGTTTTTCATTCCAGCATTGACTTCAGAATTGCCTCAAAGGAGAATTCCCTATCTCATTTCCAGCAGTGCTGCTCTCTGTTCATCTTGGCCATCCAACCATTTCATTATTCAATTAGAATTAGAACACTATTTACTTAAATTCAAAGAAGGTTATTTTCCCCATTCAAAATAGCAGGGACCCCTTGTCTTGGATTAGAGTACAAGGTGGCACAAACTGGCCGTTGTGGCCCTGGCCCTGGTCCCACACTGGGCTCAGAGTTGGAGCTACAGCCATTGGTCTTCCCCCCCACTGCCCCTGCCCTGCCACTTCTGCTCCACACTGCCCTGTCCCCCTTGATGCCTCACATACTGCCTTGTCCCTCATGCCACCTGCCCCCAACTGCCCTGCACCATCCTGGCGCCCC